TAGTATTATTTTTCTAATCTGTGGGCATTGAAGAGGGAGCCCGTTTGTGCTATATGCAGGGAGGAGCGAGAGCGCGAAAAGAAGGAGCAGATGACGTGAGGCAGATGGGCAGGTAGAATGTTAAAAAGTTTAACCTGCCCTGTGATACATTCTGGTACGAGAGGGTACACGCTGTTGCGGACAAGGCACGCGCGCTGGGGGCGCACCACACAAACGCACAGGCTGCAGCGAGACACCCCGCACGCCCCCGCACACCCATACAAGTTTATTGCCGATAGCAGTGGCCGTAATGAAATATGATCGCACCTGTCTAAAGTCAGACCTCGAGTCCGAGACAAGACCGAGTCCAAGCGCCTTCAAGACCGAGTCCAAACGTGGTCGAGTCCGAGACGAGACCAATAACTCGTGTAACCTCGCGAAACCACAGCCGTGGCGGTTCTACCGGCAGCTTGCAGCAGGAAGTACACGCGCAGCTCTGGCTCTGTTTCTCAATGAGAAAGACGATCAAACTTGACTGGGCGCGTTTAGCCGCTTGTATCAAGTCTACAGTTAAACTAACAGCTGAACACACTTGTATTTACCTTCTGTACAGGCTGACCACGGCAAAAGCCACGATTTAAATTTTAAAGCTCTTATTAACAGTCTTTCTGGACCTGGGCTCTTTTACATGACACAGATCTGCCCCAGGAGCACGTTGTCCTGACGGTAAAGGCACAAATACAACCAAAGATTCATGCTCTGTGTATTTTGATGGGGATACGCGTAGAGCGTCAAAATTAGGATGGATCCTATTTTCTGAAATCTACGCGTGCAGAACGCGTTGCTCCATACGTGCTGCTCCATACGTGCGTCTAGCACCTGCAGTGAAGCCGTCCTCATTCACTTTCCATGCATTCTAAAAGTTAAACGTCCAAAAGTTGCAGTTTTTACGCTCGCATAGAGCGAAATGTGCGTGCAGTCAAGCCAGGCCCTAACAGTTGAACAGACTTGTATTCACCTTCTGTACAGGCTGACCAGGGCAACGCGAGGATTTCAAAAGCTAATTTTAAAGCATTAATTAACAGTATTTCTGGACCTGGGCTCTTTCACACGACACTGTGGCCATACCTGCTTGTAAAAGCCTGATCCCGTCAGATCTCAGAAGCTAAGCAGGCTGGGCCTGGGTAGTACTTGAATGGGAGACCAGTCAGTTTGGAGGCTGAGCAACTTCACGTAAGGGAGGAACCTCCTGCACTGAAATTCCGGGAGCATGTCCAGAATGTCCCTTATCTGCTTGGGTGAGGGACATACAGTCATTGTCCATGAATCGAGAACCATCCTGAGAAAGGTGGTCACCTGCAATGGTACAACAAACTCTTTGCCACATTCACTCATAGACCCAATCTGCTCACGTGCCTGAGCGCTGTTTGTGTATCCTGAACGACCTTGACCTGCGAGTGGGGGGGCACAGATGAGCCAGTTGTCTGGATAGGGTAGAATCCTTAAGCCCTGGACCTGCAGGGGGGACAGGGCAGCGGAAACACACCTCGTGAACACACGAGGGGATAGAGATAGGCTAAATGGAAGGATCCTGAATTGGAAGTGCTCCCCTCGAAAAGCAAAGCGAAGAAACTTCTAATGTTGAGGAGCAATAGGGACATGAAAATAGACATCCGTCAGGTCTATGTAAGTGAACCAATCCCTGGGAAGGATTGCTTAAAGGACCTGCCTGACACTCAACATCTTGAATGGGAGGACATTTTAAACATGTTCAGACCCTTGAGTCGTCTTCTTTGGTATCAGGAAATAACGAGAATAAAAGCCCCCTGGATCCAGAAGGGGTCCAGAGGAACTATCGCATCTTTGTTCAGCAAGGCACGTATTTCCTGAGCCAAGGCACAATGTAAATGCGTCCTGGATAATTGTGATCTTGACTTGACCAGGAACAGGTGGCCAGTGGCAGAACTGTAGTTGATATCCCTGGGACAAAGTGGCCACAACCCAAGTATCCGGGCTGTGGGTGACCCGAGTTGTTCCAGGACTAAATGTACCACCACCCGTACCACAGCTTCACCTGGTTGACCCCTGGCCCTTGGAGGGCTTGGGGGGGGGCAGCACCTGGGCTAGAGACACCGACGAGGGTGAGACTCTCAGGTCTGGGCCCGTGGAGCAGCCTCAGTATCTGAGCTACGAGGTACAGCAACAGAGTGAGACTGCATTGGATACCTCCAAAGGAGGAGGAGGGGCGATTGAGGTTGTCCAATTAGGGGCTCATTTATGAAGCCCTGCCAACTGCTGTCTTGTGCGACTAGCCTGGGGCATACATTCCGAGGCTTCCAGGGCAGCTGAGCCAAACAGCTCTCCAGGGAGAACTGGAACACTCTGCAATGTCTGCCAACTGGCCTCTGAGAGAGGGGATTGTGCCAACCAGACCTGACGCCGGGCTTGAACTTACAGCAGATGCCCAAGTTCTCGGGACATGAGGGCGAAAGCTTCCAGGGATACATCGAGCAGTCCTTGCGTAGGCTGGCCCACTGGAACAGCCTTCAATGAAGCAGAGAGGCCAAGCAGTAGATGGGACAGAGAATTCCCAATTCGACCCATGGGGGCTCCCATATCATCTGCTTTACAGAGCGGATCATCTGTAACACTAGGCATTTGTCTGCAGTGTCTCTTCAGGGGGAACAATAAGTGAGGCGATGGCAGGCTCGACTGCCTGCATGTGTCCCAGACCAAACTTGTGTGGATCCTGCATCGCTGTCAATGCCCAACCATCTGAAGTAGGCTTCGAAAATGCCTGAAACATGAAGTTCCTTTACATATTCTGCCAAGGGAGTAACTGCAAAGTAAGAAGCAGTAGACTGCCCGCGAAAGAAGGCACTAAAAGAAGCCGTTTCAGCCAACGGCACATCCAGTTTTTAATGGCCAAGAGCTGTGCATAGCGCTGCAGTGACAGACTCATCGCTTCCAGCCTGAGAACAGGTAGCGCATAGAGACCCTGAGTCTAAGACTTTAGAACTCATGTCATCACAACGCAGTTGAAAATGGGTGTCAGAGACCGCCACAGACATGGCATCATCACATACAGAGGCCACACCCTGCTGTTGTTGGGGAGCCACCACACTGCTGGCATCCACTTGGAAGGTCCTGAATTAAGGCTCGCATTTGGGCCAGTTCAGTTGTCAATATATCCACCTTAGCAGACAGCTTCCCCAGAACCCCCTTCTTGGGCTCCTTACATGGAATGCATCCCGCAGACATCTAGGAAGAGGGCTCCTGAAATGCAGCCAAACAGGCTAAACGCACACACCAGAGCAAAATACTGCAGTTAGAACATGCATCCTCAGTGAGGGCCTCCTGCAGATGTTCCTCCCCTAGGCAGGTGGGACACAGGTAGTGGAGCATTACAGGACTGACAACATAGGACTCGAGCATTGTGGCGGCGTAACGCAGCCCAATATAAAGTCTGGAAGTCTATACGCTAGAGTTGTGTCGAGCAGAAAACCGCACTAGCGACTCAGCAATAAACCAGAGCGTGTACCTGTGAAGATGAGGCTTGATCAGGTTGAGCAGGGAACAGCACTAGAGACCCGCCAACAACGCCGTATCCTAAACTGAGTGCTCCGTAATAGGATCAGGTCGAGCAGGGAACACCACTCATATGACCAGCAATCAACGCCACTTTAAACTGGGTGCTCTGCAACGGGGTCTGGCCAAGCAGGGAACGCCACTAAAGACCCACGCCGATCAATGATACTAATAATAATCGCGAAGAATATCACAAAGCAAATCAATAAAGTAGTAGCCGCGCCAATATATGGTTACAAATCAAAGTGACGGAAAACTGGCTGAACACGGCGAAGCCGAAGAAACAATTAATCAAAGTTAAACGGAAAACTAAACACAAGCCGAAAGTGGCTATGTATATCTACCTAGCGTGTACCTAGGGCGAAACTAAAGTAAATAACACCAGCCTACCTCCACAACGGACACCAGTAGGCCTATCCACTGCTTGTGCAGCCCCAGGAGGCTACAGGCGACAAGCAGCGATAACAAAACAGTGGGAATAGCAAAAAGTTATTGCAACATGTCCACCATGCAACCTGCATGCAAGAAGGTGAAAAGGGACTGAGCTTCCGGTGTCACGTGATTATATAGATTCACCTGAGCCACCGAAGGTCAAAGGTGTCTTTGTTGTTATTAAATTCTCAACCTGCTGATGAGCAAGGATGATCATCCAGTGCTTGAAACACCATCTCTGGAGGTCAGTAGGGATGAAATAGAGCATATTGTTTTCTAGAAAAAATCCTAATGAATCCAAAATTTTGGTGACAAATCTTCATTTTCAAAGACTTCAGTGCTCTCTGGAGCTTCTATTTGGTGGTGTGGTGTGGGAGCGGGTCTGTGTTACCAAAGGAGTGCTACCTGGAAAATTCAACCATGGCGTATGGTCCACAGGGTTTGGGACACTCTTTAAGGCACTCTTGTGCGGGTTTGGCACCTGAAGCCTGGTAACCCTGGATTTGACTTAAAAACTGACAAGGGCTTATGTCTATGACATCACAGTCCTGGGAAAATATGAACAAGGGTGAGTCTCAGAGCTAAAGGACTTTTTACTAAGGATTACTGAAACCAGTGCAAATTAAGCAGAATACAACTCCAGGTAACATGGTTAAAATCTTAATTTTGCATAGTCTGCTTTAAATACAATATGATGTAAAATGTAATTGTAAATGCCTTTTACTCTGTCACTAACATTTACTTGAGTGATTTTCATTAGCTAAAACCAACTTGAATTTTCCGAAATTGCTATTCTTCAGGTTAATCCTACTTCTCCATTGACATTCCATTGCATGTCACTTTTGTCTCCAGTTGCCTCCATTCTAATAACAGAATGTTTTTGTAAAAAAAACTTTAAAGGGTTTATAGTAATGGCCTCTCTGAGCATCATATATTACACTGCTCATCCCAACAGAGAAGATAATTAAGTTGCTCATCTGTTTATGCTCTCCTTCCTATAGTAAACAAGGGCCTGCAGCACTTCGAAGCCCTGGAGCACAGTGAGGGGGCCGTCCCAGAGAAAAGCGGGACAGACGCCGCACCGCGACAGAGGTTTCTGTTCATCACCATCACCCAGAAAAAGGTATTGGAGCCTCTGCTGACCTGAGTAGTGTCTTTACACTATCTGCTCTAATACAAGTTACACAAATAACCAACAACACATGACCTCTGAATTTATCTCATCGATCAGAATAGATAGCCATGAAATATTAAGAAGCTATTGCTTAGATCTACCCATTTTCACCGTCACTGGTATATGCACCACTACAATTTACTTTATTGTGCAATTTTAATTTCTGAGTCTGTGATACATGGCAGTGTTGAGTAGCCATTTTTCCACAAATGGAAAAAAATCTACTACTCAGTAGTGTGATGTGTACTTCTGTAGCTATCCATTGGAGATGCCGAGAACTACGCGGCTCTTTGTTGTGATGTCATAGATTATAATTGTTTAGCAGACTCAAGTACAATATGTCTTATTTAATGTAGAACATTCCAATAAAGCAATAAGATCTGAATGGGAACAGGCAGGCCCTCCACCAGGATAGTTACATAGTACACCTCAAACTAGGGATGGGCAATATCTGTTCCAGTATTGGTATTGACCAATATTCATACTGATTCATCTATAGGTATTGGCAGATATCAGTATTGAATTCCAATATTTTTTGTGCTGCCCCCATTTTCTGTCCCCTTTTTGAACATACTAATCGGTAAAAATGGAATAGAATAGCATGATACATCTGTAAGTGTACAGACATACTGTATATTTAGAAAATGCCTTAGTTAAGTTAACTGAGCAAGGTATTCCATTTACCACATGAATCAGCCGATTTGTGAAACGCGGTGTACTTTGGCAGGTCATGTAAGAAGTTTGCTGTGTTAAATGGTTCTTAGGCGTAAGAGAAAATCCTGATTGTACTTTACGTGGCTTTAGCTGTGAGTGACACTGTGCCTCCCTCTGCAGGTGGCTCTGTATAGCTACAACTGGTCTGTGGACTTGGGCTGCACACTGAACAGGGAGCTGTTGCGCCTGGTGCACTGGCAGAATGCCCGTGCCCATGTGGTCCACTGCCTCCTCAGCCAGAAGATGGGCCTGTTCCACCACTACTGCTTCTCCGACATGCCCGTGCACCAGCCAGACTCCAAACAGGTACTCCCCATCAGCTAGACTCCAAACATGTACCTTCCCCCTCAGGCTCCAAGCACGTACTCCCTTTCAGTCAGACCCTGAGAAGGCACCAACCAGATCCCTGTAGGGTTATTAAAGGGGATAATTGATATAAAAGATAGGAATTTAAGAGTTCTAAGTTAAAGCAGGACTCAAATGGCAGATTTGGGGCAAAAAGTGGAATAAACTTCTTGGGCATTGTCTTTCTGGAATGTTATTTGTCCAGCAGAGAAGATAGGAAGCTGCTTTGTGTCTCCCTGTTTCTCTGTCCTCTCAGGTCAAAGATCTGAAGTGAACTTTTGGTGTCTGGTAAGTGAAAACTATTGTATTTCTTGTTGTAACCACCCACTTAAGTTTGAGCAGGGGAAGGCTAAACTAATTAGCTAAAGTCATGAGTGTGACTTGGCTAAAGTTGAGTGGGGATTTTGGAGGATGTTCTGTGAATTTCTTCTTACATGTGCATTATGAACCATTAAGAGTTTTACACAAATAAAAGATATTCACACATCAGCAAATCAATATTCAAACAGCATTAATAACAGGGAAGCCGTAGGGTCTTAAAAGTCTTAAAAAGGTCTTAAATATCATGTTCTTAAATTAAGGCCTTAAAAGTCTTAAATTATGTTGTCCAAGTCTTGTTTTTTCACAAAGGTCTTAAATTTCATTTGCCTGTTTTTTGTATACTCAACCGGGCTGCAGTGCAATGTTAAATGGAGCGAGGAAAAAAATAACAACGTGAAATCACGCTCTTAGATTCTAGATATAGTACGGTAGTGGTTGGATCTGGTATTTTCGCCTGTATAATGGGTGTGATGTTGGTCTTAATTTTAATTTAAGTGGTCTTTAAAAGGTCTTAAAACAGTCTTAAATTTTGGGTAATCAAACCTGTGGATACTCTGGATAATATTCAAACAGCACTGGTATATTCATAGCATGAACGGTTTACACCATTTCTCTTCTTTCTGTGGAGAAAGTTATTAGCTCAGATGATTTGATCAAACAGCAGTGTCTTTTATTGCTTTTTGGTTATGGCTACTTTTCTTTTAGATTTTAGTTTAGAGAATCTTGGTGGGAGAGAAGTTTTAAGATTTTTTTCTGCTGAATTTTTGAAAAAGTCGTGTCTGCTCCAGGGTCCAGTTAGAGCTGAAGGGAAGCGGGGGATGCTCATGCATCCACAGTCATAGAAGGAATTATCTAGCCCAAAGAACTTGGTTTGGTGAAATTTTCCATAGCAAACTGTGAAGCAGGTGTTTCTCACGGTTTCATAAGGCAACCTGTAACACTAGCGGTCAGATCCAGGTTGAGCGGTTAGATCCACTGACCCACAGGTTGGCTGGTGTGATTCCAGCTCCCACAGATGAATGCTGTCGTTGTGTCCTTGGGCAAGACACTTAACCCACCTTGCCCACAGTGTCTGCGTACACTGGTGTCATGCCAAGGTCATGTGGGTAGATCGCTGTGTCTCGTCTCGGACTCGCGTTTGGACTCGGTCTTGTCTCTCACTCAAGGTCTGACACTCTCTCTCTCTCCCGCGGAGACTCTACGGCACATCACAAACACACACGCTCCCTATGCACGGCTCGTCTGCGACAGCGTGTGCCCTCGTGTACCAGCGTGCATCACAGGGCAGGTTCAACTTCCTAAACATTCTACCTGTCCATCTGCCTCACGTCAGCACGCCGCCCCTCGCCTTTTCACGCTCTCGCTCCTTCCTGCGTACAGCCAACACAAGCCCCTCCCACAGTGCGGCTGATTAGAAGAGCAAGACCAAACGTGAAGCAAAAACCAGTCTAAATTTGTGTTCCAGTGTTGGCACAAAGCAGGTCTACAGCATAGAGCAGATCTACAGAACAGACCTACTGGCACATTTGGCTGAAGTTTACCTAACAAAAGTGCACAAATGCATCTGTGTTTGTCACGATGTGCGTTTGGTTTGATAGACGTGCAGAGGCTGGTAAATATCACTGCAAAACCAGAAAAGAATGAAACTCCAGTTTGGAACTTTAAAAAACAGGTTTAAAAATCTTACCTTCTTCCTTCAGATTTTTTCACAGTTTTGTGAAAGTGCCAGAGGAAGTTCTCTTAAAGAAGGGGTTCTCAAACTGTGGGTGAGGGTCCAAAAAGGGGCACAGAGTGTTTCAGTGCAGTTTGCTTGGCTTTGTATTAGGTAGATCTTTATGACTTGGTCATTTTGTAAGTAGCTCGCATGCTGAAAAAGTGTGAGCACCCCTGCTATAGGGCATGCTTAAAAGCCTTTAATTTTATCCAAAAACGACTGCGCGCCTTAAAGTGCGGAAAATATGGTACTCCTTCTCTGGCACCTATGCAGCAGCCAGACCTAAAACAGGTTTTTGGTGCTTTCATGTGGTGTCTTATAAATTGTTAATATGATTTTACTTCAGTCATTAGCTCAAGTGGGAGAAATGAAAAACTGTGACATCAGGGGCCTTTATAAGAGAGTTCACAATAAATGTAATAGATTGTAAGTTATTTACTACTGTTAGCTACTTCTGAAATGGTTTCTATGTGTTCACAGCATCCAAGCAATCCAAAAGCACATGAACAGACATGGGTCTGGTGAAAAAGCTCAGCTCCAAATTAGCCTTTATATGTGCACACCTGGATTAGCTTCATTTGGCTGGAGTTGAATGCAGTCAGACCAGATATTTTTCAAATCCAATGCCTAATATATTTAACAATAATTATTTTTTATTATCCTCAGTTACATTGTCTCTATGCAAATCTGTCCCTATGCGCTGCATGTTAGTGTTTTTTTTATTTTACATCTAGAGTAAAGTCTGGTCTGGGGATGTGTGTCCCCAGTATCAAGTTTAGCAAAAGTACCAGGGCCCTGCAGGGGTGAAGCCTCACAGCAGGAGCAGTGTGGGCCATGTCAGTCTGGATTAGTGCACTGATCCAAGGATTGCATAGACACATGTGGAGCCCTGGCCCCGGAGCTCGTCAGTCCCTCGTCAAACAAACACAACCACAGATGTACTATTGAGAACTCATGAGCCACAAAAAGGACAGAAGGCAGACAAGTGAGCAGCAAATCAGCCTGAAATATCTCCTCTGCCAGACCCTCCAGCATGTCCGTCATACAGGCCTGTCCCCCCCATACAAACCTGTCCCTCATATAGACTGTCCCTCATACAGAACTCACCCAGCACATCTCTCACTCAGTATGTCTCATACCCAGTATGTCTCTCACTCAGTATGTCCCTCATTTAGGACTGTCCTCTCTCAAATGTCTTTGTCTTAGGCTTTGTTGTGGGAGTCCTGTCATTTACCCTGTAGTATCCAGGCCTATATTTTGGTGCATCAGTGTCATCTAAAAGTCACTCCTGGAAGAATTTACTTCATACTTTGATTGTATGGATTCAAATGGTAGTTGTGATTGTAAAAGTCTCATCTAATCTCTAAACCTATTTTCCTCACTTCTTTGTGACTCTTGGCAGGAACCAAACCCATTCCTAAGCCCTTCCATGGAGCCTGATGCTCTACTCCGAAGTGCAATGCCCCCAGTCTCTAGTAAAGATCAGGGAAGGCTGGTGGGCATGGGCCGGATTCTGGCCCCTCTGCACTTCCCCTCAGAGCTGCTGCCCTTTGACGAGGCTCTGCGTGACGTGTGCTCCATTCCCGGACTGAGTGAGGGTGATGCGGTGTCCAGACACGGAGGACAGCTCCTGGATATCAAGGCTGGAGAGCGTAGAGGTCAGACCCACAGCTCTGGCTGCATTTTGACATAAACTGTATCCTATATTAAACTGTGCACTATATTAAAAGCAATATTTAAATTGATGTGATGTGTGAGGAGGTACTCTAGGTATGGCCAAAGAACCATATACATGTACTGAATGTGTTGAATATGTTTCATTTGGGGTGGGAGCAAGGGGCCTGGATAACAATAATATAAATATAACATGGTTGTTGGTTCTTTGTTCTTGTTACAGAGCTGGAGAAGCAGATGAAGATCGAGAACCTGTTTGTGACATGGCAGCAGCGCTCAGCTCAGAGTAACATGCCCATTTCTGTGAGTACAAGAACTAGAATATACAGTTCACTCCTCCCTCAGGGAAACAGCTGAGCACTCCAGAACTTCCCTTGGGCCTAGGGCCTACAGATTTGAAAAATGAGCAACAACCACCAGTCCAGGATTGGGGTCTGATGTTTTTTGTTAAGGTGAGAATAATAATAACTTGGAGTAAAGCTTACTCCAGGTAAGACTAGGAGAAGGAGCTTACATACAGTAGTTCGTCCAGGCAGAGTACTTTTGTAGTGTTCACAAAGTTCTTTGATTGGAGGAAAAAGATCTTCTAAAAATAAACTTTGTTAAAAGGGTGTGTTCCCATGTGTGCGCAGGCAGCAGATCTGGAGATCCTCAAGCAGTCGTCTAGACTGGTGCATTACTGTGCTACTCCTCTGCTCTTTGACCCACTTTTTCGCAAAAACATCCAAGAAGAGCAAGTCATCCATTCTCCAGTGAAGGTATACATTTAAAAATACTCATTTAATAAAATTTTTGAATAGCACAAAATAGAAAACAAAACAACAGCAAACAGGTTGCAGTACTTAACAAAAGTGATGATTTAACCAACAGAAAGTTTGATAATCAAACAGTGAAACAGTCATTGGTCAGCCAGACCGATGAACCAACATTCACATTAAACTAGCAAACTGTCACGGGTTGCCTCCTGTCTGAGAGGATCTGGGTCCACAGCAAAGGATTAGGGCATAGAAGGGCCAGCTAAGGTCCAGTCATGAATGGGGCAGTCAGCGGTAGGGCACCTGAAACAGTTGCACTCACCAGTGAGATAGAGGGACAACTTGTGAATGGCAATGAACAGATTCCAGGTGAACTGAATAATGAATGTTGTTAATAGGGAAAGTTGGAGGAAACAGAGGATATTGCCAAGTTATACTAAGAAATCATGCAGTGGTTTTGTTATTAAATAGAAACATAATAATCAGCACCAATGAATGCCTTGAGGTGTCTGGTATGTGGGACAGTTCTTTGCTCATTTGTGCTGCTGTGTTAGAAGCGTCACCGCTCTAATGACTCGAGTGCATCGGGCCGAGACCGCAGCTACAGCACAGACTCTGGGGACATGCTGCCCATCCGCCTGCGGGACGAACCCTGGCTCCAGGATGTATCCTGCTCCTTTCTTCAGCACTATGTGCAGTACCTGCAGAGCATGGGCTTCATCCTAGTGCAGGTTCGGCCCCAGTCCCCTGCGCGGAGGTTAGTGCCCAATATGGAGCCTGTGACAATAATATCGTTCATTATATAACAGATGGAACAATAATTTTTGAGAGTCTGTATTTATCATACTAGTGGGAAATTTCTGGTTATTTTTTTGCTGTACAATAAGATTTGAGCTGTAGATGTTTGTATTTATAATGAGACATAGGAGTTCATAATTCAGTCTTGTCATTTACTTATTGCAGTTCATATTTTTACCAATATTGTACATCAAGAATACTTTTTGGGTATAATTTTGCTTTATGGATTGGTTTCAGTATTTTCGTTTATCGTCTATATTTACTTGAGCAGTGTATTGCACTCTAAAATTTGTTATGTGACATGCCTTTAAGAAGGTTTGTGTTGTAGTATCGCTAGAAGCCGCGCTGCTATGCTGAGCTCCACGTCCTCAGAGGGGCGGATGTCCTTCTCCTACGTCAAACAGAAGAGCGAGGACAGCCCTAAGGTCTTTCTCACACTCAAACATCTAATTTACACAAGACTGAAGGGACACTCTGAAAACAAAGAGGGGACGCAATCATATTGGCCACACCACTGATGTGAATATAGCTCTACACCAGAGCTTCACAGACCTCCTGGACAGTCCCACCTACCACAATGACCCAAACGTGACATTTGTCTCAGAACTGTTCTGTCTCAGAGGACATGTGTCATTAGGACAACTTCCTAGCCACATAAAGCCTACTTTCACTTAAATGTAGTTTAATAAGTATTATTCTATAACCTTCACCTAGCAACCGTAATAAAGGCCAAGGTGCGTTTATTGTGCATTGAAGATATAGTAGGATTCTTACTTAGTTACAAGTCACAAGTAGTGCTGTGTTCTATGATAAATATTTACCCCAGATATCGTTACATAATTGAAGTAATAATTTGAAAAAGATGAATGCCAAAGGGTCATTCCATGCCAAATCTCTGATCTCTTGACCATCTCAGATTTGACTGAAAAAATTCTAGGAGGTTCACACACACTTTCCAATAGGAAAAGTCTCTGTGTCATGAAATCAGAGTGTTTTCTTTGCTTCTGAAAGTGCCTTCATAGTCCATGAATGCTCTGCATGTATGTGGACACCACATTTTCAAATTCATTTTGCAAAAATAAGGCAGAACACCATGACAAATTTTGGATATGTTAAAAACAGACATCTAGTCTTTCTATAACAGTCCATTTTATGTTGGTGGGTGCTGTCATTTTTTTGGTATAACATGGTAAAGATGGCACCACATTTATTTTTTCCCACTTTTAACAGTTAATATCTTGTAGAGCTTTCATCACATAGGGTCAGTTTTTTCATCACATAGGGTCAGTTTTAAAAATACAAAGTACACAGCATGTGTGGGAAGGTTCAATATCAAACCTCTGTCTTTGAAATTACACTTTCCACAGTCCACATGTGTAAAAGTCCAGATTCTACAAGTACATTTGCCAAATTTTTGGCCCTTGAAAATTTTAAGGCCCTACCTTAAATAGTTTTTAAATACAGAAATCTGAAAGTGTCTCCTTGGAAAACTCTGCTCATAACAGGTCAGGGCAGAGTTGACAAAATATTTTTGATGACAAAACTATAAGGAGTTGGGAGCTAAAAATTTGACACTTTTCCTACTGGAAAGTGTGTGAACCTCCTAGAATTTTTTCAGTGAAATCTGAGAGGGTCGGGCGGAGATTTGGCATGGAATAACCAATATGCGCTGGAATTTCTTTAATTTTTTTGGACCAATCTCAGTTTGTCTGACTTTGTCATGTAGACTAGCCCTTAGGAGTATTGTTGCACTTGACCACTTTTGTCTTCATTTCAATTTTTAGACTTCTCCGTCTGCAACTACGCATTACCACCTGCAGAGGGCGCTGCCTGGGGGAATCGTTCTGATGGAACTGGCTTTCCAGGTAACTCAGTGCATTGCTTTGTTTTGTGTTCTCCCTATGAGCTTCTGAGATTTGAGCAAAATGGCATATTCATTTCCTCATGGTGTAAACGTACAAATTTTTTTCCACCTACTCCTCTCACCTAGTCAGTCACTGTCACACTTTGTGTGACTGATTACTATGATTGGCTAAATCCAGCTGTCAGTGAAATCTTAAACGAACAGTATTTTGCTTGTGCTGTTACAGTTTACAGAGCTGTTGCGCGGCTTTCACATGAGAGCTCAAAACCTCCAGAATTCATTCATTGAGCTGCAGAGGCTGCACTGGCACTGATTCATGATTGGCTGCGGAATTTCCAACTGGATTTCAGCACTGAAACTGACAACCCAAATAAGAGACTCATGTGAATCTCTTGTGACATTCACATGAGTCTCTTATTTGGGTTATTGTGATTATTGTTATTTGAGTCATGAGTGAACTCATGTGAACTCTCTCATTGGATGATAATTTTGAGAACCAAAACGTCAAATCAAATTGTAACAGAAACAACAGCCATCATTTATAACAGAATTTACTGGAGGTGCCCATGGTAACTTCTGGAATACCTATTTACTCTTTTTGTCCAGGGCTGTTATTTCTGTGTGAAGCAGTACGCGCTGGAATGCTCCCGTATCCCCATGGGTCAGTCTGTCAATTCCCAGGTAAAAACTGTCTCCACCCACATTTTCTTTAGAAGAAGAATCCAGTCACGTTTACACCAGACCACCAAGGGGGCACTTCTGCAGCAGAATAAGCAGTTTGCCATGTGTTACGAGTTTAATTTTGTGCTCCATTAGGGCAACCTCCTCACCAAACCACGCACTCGGCCGTACCCAGATGCCTCGCCTGTGTCTGACTGTGCGGTATGTGCCAGCTCTGGGCAGGCTCTAATCAAACTGGCCCCGCCCGCCCTCATCTCCACCTGCTGTAATCAGTGCTGTCCGCTTCTGTCTGTCCTGTGTCTGACTGGGTTCTCAACATTTCCCATTATGCAGTGAGCTTGGAGGGTCTCTGTGGTGATAGTGGGGCACTGGGGCCATGCGCTGGATTGGGGGTTGGGACTCTGTGATTGGCTGTTTTCTTTGTTCTCAGTCTGTCTCTGAGGGCTAGTGTGCATGATCTTCCAACTGAAGTAGTAATATGTTACATTGTATTCATGTGATTATGTCAATACAAGAAAACTGCTTCTGAATGCTTTGACTCTATGCATCTCCTGGATTTCTGTCCACCTGAAAATCTGTAGCTTCATAATTTTTTTAAGCTTTCTACCATGTTATAAAGTTGTTCCCTCATTAAAAATATGCCTGAAGATTTTTTAGATGTCGTCCATGCATGTTTGAGTAATTTTGCAATGTTTCCCCGGCCCTATTCAAACCCTCCTGAGAGTTAACTATGATTTTGTGCAATGCTTCATCCATAAGCCTACGTCCCCCATGCTCCTACACGACAATTCTCCATAAATATACAAAAACATGATACAAACTGTACACAGCAACTTGACCTGACAAACCTGTGCAATAGTTTCATTAGCAGGATACACGCTAATTGTTGTGATAACACATATGAAGGGGGAGTGACTTAAGACAGGGAGTAAAGGCAGGGGGGACATAAAAAACTAAAGTGAAACTTTTAAAACATGTTAAGCCTTTGTTTTCAGCTGATATAGCATTTTCAGAAACAATAAATTGTAACACATGATCTAAATATGTTATGTGTTAGCAGTTAATACCTCAAAGAAGTGAAATAGCTTTAAAAATCAAATTAATCATCATATATTTAGTATGTCATTTCGTGTGTGCTTGGGTCTACTTCCCTTTCATGTGCGGATGGGAATGTTACCGTGTGCTCTGTAATTGCAAATGTAAAATGTAAAACTTCACATCAAAAGTAGACTGGAGTCCTTTTAGATTTAAACCAACTGGATTTCAGCATTGAGAGTGGCAACCCAAATGAGAGACTCATGTGAGCTTGACTTTCTGATTTCTGACACATGTCTGAGTAATCCTGAAATATGAGTCTGTCTACATCTTCAAAGATCAAAATACTCTGTTCCATCTTTTGATGTCATGAAGCAGTAGTGTTCAAGTTAACGGCTACCTTTTACCTTTTGTTCAGTAGAGCCTGGCAATTCCACGACTGAAATCATCCAAGTCATTCTTGTGAAGTTGTATGGAGTTCAAAAACACAGTAGAGCACATCCTGTATTACCATTCATCCCATCAATCCATTTTCTTCTGCTTTATCCAGGGGCAGGTCCCAGAGGCAGCAGTCTGAGCAGGAAGGCTCGACTTCTCTCTCCACATTCACCTTCACTAGCTCTGGCACAGGCCAGTGAGTTCTGGGTCTTCCGGTCCTTCCGGTGGGATGTGCCCAGGACACCTCCCAAGGGAGGCCTACAGGGAGGCATTCGGAACATATGCCCAAGCCACTTCACCTTGCTCCTCTCGAAGTAGAGGAACAGCGGCTTTAGTGCGGGTTCCTCCTGTGTGACTGAGCTCCTCACCCTATCTCTGAGTGAGCGCCTAGCCACCCTGCAGAGGAAACTCATTTTGTCCGCTTGTATCTTGTCCTTTCATTCATTACCCAAAGCTCATGACCATAGGTAAAGGGAGGAATGTAGATTGACTGGCACCACATTGCCTTACAGGTGACTGTAAGGTTGGAACTATGAGGAAACTAAACGACCACTCAACCCTTGGTCAAAACGGCATTAGGCCCAGTCAGATATTGATCAGGTTCTTAATGGGCTATGCTATTTTCTGATGTATATTATAATGATAATGTTGTTTCCTCATCACAAACAGACCCTAGATGTTTTGTATCATTCACACATATTTAAAACATAAATCCTGCATGTTTAGGAGTTCTTCTCTCAAACAGAAAACCCTCTATTCCATCTTGTGATGTCATAGTAATAAACTTCACTGTATTTTAATTCCATGCAGTTTGACTGTAATTGGTTTGAAGGATGGGTCAAAGACAGATGACAAATTTCTCTTACTTCAACCTTATTCTTAACCACAACACCAGTACTTTCAGAATTGAGATATGAGAATTGAAGCATCATTTGCTTAAAGTGCGACTAACAATTAACACTTTCACTTAAACTCTGCCCAAACCAAGCATTTCAAATACTAGCAGAGCTGGTTAACTGGGCAGTACCTGGAGGATTCAAAAAAGAGATGATGGGGGAGGAGGGGTGCAATCTGGGGTATAAGGAACAGTGTGATTGTCTAACAGGGTCCATATTTGAAATGAGAAACACCTGGCTGTAACCAGGGCAGTCTTGTGTGATGTCATGTAGTACTTGAAATTGCAGTGTTTACACTCAAAATGTTGAATTACTGTTTAGCAAATATTGTCCAGATGAAAACCTTTGAAACCTGATTCCATGAAGCACTCCTGTACCCTTGTGAGGTGGAGCACCAACACCAACATGGCGACTGATCCACAGATTTTGGACTTATTCACATTCTGTGTTTTGTTTGTTCATCTTTGAGCCTTGCATCTCAATCGCCCCACTTTCACCTGTTTGTTATTCTGTATAAGGTAAACTGGTTGAAAATATGACTTGCCAATATAGGCCGCATTCACATTTTTGATTTGATGTCATAATTTCAGATGGAGGACTAGGCTGTATATAGAGACGTGTTCAAAATTGTTGGTACCCCTCTGACAATGAAAGAAAAATCAACAATGGTCACTGAAATAACTTGAAACTGATAAAAGCAATAATAAATAAATTTTTACTGGCCCTATGTAAATTAAACATTGTTTTTCACCTGTGCTTCAACAGAATCATTAGAGAAAACAAAATAATGAAACTGGCCTGGACAAAAATGATGTCTTAACTTAATATTTTGTTACACAAGTAACCACTTCTCGTAGGCAAACTGCTCTAGTTGTCTCAGGTTTGAAGAGTTCCTTCTCCGGACAGCATGTTTCAGCTCCTTTGACAGATGTTCAGTAGGATTGAGATCTGGGCTCACATGGCGAGGAGAAAATTCAGTTTGTGGACTGGACCAAAGTTAGTTTGTTTGAAGACGTTTCGCAGCTCATCCAAGCTGCTTCTTCAGTTCTGGTCAGAATGCTGGTGGACACTTCCTTATATCTGCAGGGAGTAGCTAACTAACTGAAACTAACACACCTACTTGTTTACAGTTTCTGTTTGTTAGTTCGGGTTATTGACCTGTGTAGGGTGTGGAGTCTAATTAGCAGAACAATTCATGGCCATAATGGAGCTTCCACACCTCTGGACCTGACCTGGCTACACCTATTGTTCTCTTGTTTGTTTTGATTTAGGTTTGAGGATGGAGTTGTAAATAGGAGACAGATGGTGTCTGAGTCATCCACAAAAATGGCGTCTTTCACTCCCCTCTCAAACCAATTCTTTTCTCTGGCTAAAATCTGTACCTCACTGTCCTCAAATGAGTGGCCCGTGGCTTTTAAGTGGAGATGTACAGCAGACTGAGGCCCACTGCTGTTTCTCGTCTGTGTTGGTACATCCTCTTGGGAAGTAGCTGTTTAGTTTCTCCAATGTAGCGTTCACTGCAGTCTTCACTGCACTGAATGGAGTAGACCACATTGCTTTGTTTGTGACTCGGTCTTTTGTCCTTTGGGTGGACCAGTCTCTGTCTTGGAGTGTTTGTACCTTTGAAATAGACTGGGGATTGCATGTTGTCTGAAAATCCTCTGTAGTTTTTCCGAAACACCAGCCATGTAGGGAATAGTTACCCCCTTTCTCTTGGGTTCTGATTCTCTGTTGTCCTGTTTTTTGGTTCTCTTGGTTTTGTTGAAGGCCCATTTTGGATATCCACAAACAGAGAGGGCTTTCTGTACATGTTGTTCTTCTTTCTCCTTTCCCTCTGTGCTTATAGGCACCACTTGAGCCCTGTGTTAAAGTGTCCGAATAACTCCAAGTTTGTGTTGCAGTGGGTGGTGAGAATCAAAAAAACAGGTACTGGTCCATGTGTGTGGGCTTCCTGAAGACCTCAACCTAGAGTCGTCGGTCTTCTCCTGTCGTTACTGCACAATCTAAGAAAGCCAGTGTGTTGTTCTTGGCATCTTCATGGGTGAATTTGATGTTAGGATCTACAGCATTAATATGTGCAGTAAATGGTTCAAAATCTTGAATTTTGATTTCAGAAAAGTTATCATCCCCATAACGATACCAATGTGTGGTGGAGTTCCTGGATAAGAGGCCAAGGCCCTCTGTTCAAATTGTTCCATATATAAGTTAGCAATGATAGGAGAGACCGGTGAGCCCATCCCACAGCTGTGGATTTGTCTGTAGAAGTTCCCTCTGAATTGGAAGTAGGTGGTATGTAAACAGATTTCCAGCAGTTGGCAGATTTGATCCGGTGACAGTTTAGTTCTCTCTTCTAGTTTGGTATCCTGCAGTAGTCTCTTCCTTGCTGCTTCCACTGCTACTGATGTAGGGATACACATGAAAAGAGATGTCACATCAAAGGAAACCATTGTCTCGTCCGGGTCGAACTGGAGATGTTTGATTTTGTTCACAAATTCGGCTGTGTTCTCAATATGATGCTCCGTATTACCCACCAAAGGGGACAGAATAGTCTTCAGGTGTTTGGCCATATTGTACGTGATGGAGTCTGTGCTACAAACACTGGGTCTGAGAGGTACTCCCTGTTTGTGAATCTTAGGGAGGCCGTAGATACACGAAATGGAATCACCAGGATACAGTCTATAATATATCTGTCGACCAATGACTTCTTCCTTCTCCAACTTCTGCAAGTAGTCAATGATCTCCTTTCTATATCCACTGGTGGGGTCTCGTTTGAGTAATTCATAGGTAGTGGTGTCACTGAGCAGGTTGTTAACTTTAGCCTCATAATCAGTTGCGTTAAGAATCACCGTGCATCTCTCTTTGTCTGCTGGCAGGATGTTGATGCTGCGGTCATTCTCAAGAGCAATAATGGCCTTCCTTTCCTCTGATGTTATGTTGAAGGGAGGAGGTTTGGCATTGCTCAGTGCAGCCGTTAATTTCAGTCTAAGGTCTCCATCTTCTGTCTCTGTGAGTTTGTTGTTCCTAATGGCGGATTCTGCTGCTGTGATGTAGTCCACCGTGGGGATGCGGTTAGAAGTTACAGAGAAATTCAGTCCTTTGGAAAGTACTTCTTTCTCAGTCTTTGTGAGCTCTCGGTTGGAAAGATTTTTCAACCAGCGTTCTTTGTGGCCAAGTTGGCTCCGTTTATCCTCCTTCCTTTTGTCACTTCGATCCCTGGGGTTAGTTTGGTTTTGATTTTGGAGTTGTGTAAATTTCCTTAGGTGGCGCGCTTTTGTTTTGTGTTTTGTGTCTTAACTGTCCTGTGACTATGAAGTCCTTAATCTTCTGGCCCATTTCCTTTGGGACTAAACCGGTTATCCTGTTTTGTACATTTTCTATTTCAAATTTTTATTTTAACTTTTCAATTTCAAAATTGAGATGGCTAATTCTAAGGCTTAGCATTCCCCTCAGGTAATGCTGGGTTAACCTGGCTGCCTTATGTCCTGGGTCTGGTGCTTTCTTCTGCAAGCCTTGGGAATCAGTTGCTTCTGTCGATGCCTAAGGTTAAAGCGTAAGTGATTCATTTTTTCTGCTAATCTTCTAGTGCCCTTTTCCAGCTTCCTTACCAGTCCAACGGTAGCTGGCTCGTAGCTGTTCTTGAGATGTGTGAAGATTCCCTCAGTCGTCCAGGTAGAATCCATGGCGAGGAGAAAATTCAGTTTGTCGACTGGACCAAAGTTAGTTTGTTTGAAGACGTTTCGCAGCTCATCCAAGCTGCTTCTCCAGTTCTGGTCAATACTGGTGGACACTTCTTATATCTGTCTGCAGGGAGGAGCTAACTAACTGAAACTAACACACACACTTGTTTACAGTTTCTGTTTGTTAGTTCGGCCTATTGACCTGTGCAGCATTCTGACCAGAACTGAAGAAGCAGCTTGGATGAGCTGCGAAACATCTTCAAACAAACTAACTTTGGTCCAGTCGACAAACTGAATTTTCTCCTCGCTGTGGATTCTGCCTGGATGACTGAGGCATTCTTCACACATCTGGGCTCACAGAAGAACACTCCAGAACAGTCCGATGTTTTGTTCTTAACCATTCTTGTGTGTTTTTAACTGTGTTTTGGGTCATTATCCTGTTGGACGAACCATGACCTATGACTGAGACCAAGTTTTCTGATACTAGGCAACACATTTCATTTCAAAATACCTTGATAGTTCTTAGATTCCTTTGTATCTTGCACAGATTCAAGACACCCTGTGCCAGATGCAGCAAAACAGCCCCAGAACAAAACCAAGCCTCCTCCATGCTTCACAGTAGGGACAGTGTTCTTTTCTTGGTGTGCTTAGATCCAGTTTTGTCTCATCTGTCCAAAGGACATTCTCTCAGAAGCTTTGTGGCTTGTCAGTATACACTGTGGCAAAGTCTCACTTTTTTATGATTTGTTTTCAGCAGTGATGTCCTCACATCAAGTCCACTTTGGCTCAAACAGTGATGGATGGTGTGAACTGACACTGATGTACCTCTCCCTTCAAGTTCACATTTAATTAGTTTGGAGGTTGTTCCGGGCTCTTTGGTTCCATTCATATGATCCATCATTTGAATTTGTCACACATTTTCCTCTTGCAGCCATGTCCAGGGAGGTTGACTTCAGTCCTGTGGACCTTAAACTTCTGAAGAACATTTGTAACTGTAATCACAGGAACATCAAGCTGCTTGGAGATGGTCTTATTGTCTTTATCTTTAACCTGTTTGTCTATCATTTTCTTTCTAGTCTCCTGACACAGTTCTCTTCTTCTTTTTCTCTGGTCCATGTTCAGTGTTGTGTCCATCATGTCTCCAAACAGCACAATGACACGTCCCCCTTTAAACAGACAGACTGACTGAGGACAAGTTTGAAAACACCTGTGATGCAGATTAGAGACACACCTAATTTAACATGTCCATATTGTCCAATTATTTACGATCTTTTCTAGGGGAACATCATTTTTATCCAGGCCAATTTCATTAGTTTATTTTTTGAAATAATTCTGTTGAACAACAATTCAAAAACAGTGTCTGATTTTCATTGGTTATTTTTCAGTAAATTTTTATTTATTATTGCTTTTCTTAGTTTCAAGTTATTTCATTGTCATCTTCAAATTTACGATCCACAAATGCTGAACCATATTTTTTGTTTGGGATTGGTTCCACAAACTTGTCATATTAAATTTATGCCTTAAAGTCTTTTAATTGACAACAATCAGATGAATAGTGACACCACTTCCTTACTGAAATAATAATTCAACTTTTGTTTATTTATACTGACAGTGAAGATACTGAACTTGAAATTAAAAGATATTACCCATAAACCAGATCAACACATATGCAATCTGGAAAGAGCCTGTATCAAAGTGGCAGAAAGGATCAAGTGGGTGGGACTAAACAGTCAAACTCAAGTTTGAAATCAGGTTCTTTAAAGGAGACCTATCCTGTAAAACTGACTTGACTAACCATGTTATAGTTGTTTCCCTCAGCATTTTCTTAACCATAGTTAGTTGTAGTTGTAGTATTTGTGCATGTTTGAGCAATCTTTACTATTCAACTATTCGTCAGAGGTGCTGACAGCTACATGGCTCTTTGTTGTAATAATGTTTATGGTGATGTCATCTCCCATTGGGTGGACATGTGTTTTTTTTATCATGTCGTTTTAGAAGAATATTGCAATTTAAAATATACCAACTATAGTATAATGATCCATGGGTGTTATAGATTATAACTAGAGCAGACACAAGCACAGTAGGTCTTCTTTAGAAAATGCCTAAGTCATTTGATAATTGCATCCATTCAAAGAGTGATTTTGATTGGATTGCGATGAATCTTGCAGTCTTAGTAGGAGTGTGGGGCATGTGTAGGCTCAGACACTGCTTGTGGTGATTGGTTGTGGTGCTTCTGTGTTGCAGCTCTCCATGCTCTTCACTGAGGAGTGTGACAAAGTGAGGGACCTGATGCACGTGCACTCCTTCAGCTATGACTTTCACCTGCGTCTGTGCCACCAGTACCTTCAGGGCAGTCACATGACCCTGCGCCAGGGTTACCAGCTCACAGACTTCCTGGACGACTTCATCTTCCACCACCCTGACATCCCCAAGTTTGGGCACAACCATGTTTTCCAGGGTAATCTTGTCATGTAAATAGGCATGCCATGTCTTGTCCAAATAATTAATCAAAAAATAGAAATGAAGAATCTAGTCAGGAAAAAAGAAAAACAGACAAAGGTTATGCAGATGACATCACAACATTCTGAGTTTTTAGAATGTATGCATATACATGCACATCAGTATCCTGGTTATTAGCCATATCCCGGTTATGGCAGTATTCGGGATATGCCACAGTATCACAGTTACTATCGGAATATACCAGCTACAGTATCCAGGTTTCTCATAACCAGGATACTGCCTTATTTGAGATACTGAAACTGGGATACTGCATATACATGCACCATGACGAAACCAGGATACTGATGTTCATGTGTTCATATACACTGTCAGTGTCAGTGGCAGTAATGACATTTTCTTCTATAAAAGCCCAGTGTGAAAGAGCTGCTATGGTTTAATAACAAATATAAAAAGTTCGACTCTGCTAAATATTTAGTTTGTACAAGAAAACAAGAAAATCAATAAACATGCTGTAGATTTACTATGTGAGTAAAACATGCTTTTAACCCACAGAGAACTGGATGTGGACCTCTTGATTGACCATCAGAAATTACTGAATCTTAAAATGTGAACAATTGTCTGGTACTGTTGGAATCCAAGTTTGTGTTTGTGCTGTTAGGAAGCTTCTCCATGTCGACGGGGATCATCCCTGCCCACCAGCTCTACAACTACATCACTGACCACGCAGGCACCTATGGCATGAAGCCCCTGCGCATGTCCCGAGCAGCCACGTCCTCTGACAGCAAGAAGGCCCCTCCTGAGCTGCATGAGTACGCCCTGGTGGCTCTGTGGACCAGGTAGTCTTCTCACACACATCTCTCTGCCTGTGTGTGTGTGTGTGTGTGTGTGTGTGTGTGTGTGTGTGTGTGTGTGTGTGAGAGTGAGAGTGAGAGTGAGAGTGAGAGTGAGAGTGAGAGTGAGAGTGAAACGCTCTGCTCTGCTTTCAGCTCAGGCTCATATAAAGACCTGGAGGGTCTGCACCATCATGACGATTTTGACGTGTCCCTGGTGGTGTGTCACAATGCTGTGCCATTTGAGGAGCAGTCAGACACAGAGAGGCACCTGCTTAGGTCAGTACAACACACACTCATGCATGTATGCATACACACACTTGCTCTGGTCAATACAATGCACATACACACAGCTCAGGTCTGACACACAGACACACATTGTAGGTTGACCATGCTATAGCTGAGTCCGTGTTTGGTGTGTGCAGGCTGAGGTTCTACGTGCTGATGACTAGTCAGAGAGAGCTGTTTCCTCGTCTCACTGCAGACATGCGCCGCTTTAAGAAGCTGCCCCAGATCCATAAGGAGCCGGAGCCTGAACAGGCCCCACATTCAGACAGAGCCGAGGGCCCACAGGACAGCTGGGAACAGGCAGTCTCTGAGGCACTCTCTGATGGCAATGAGTTCTATCCTCTGGCTGGAGGCACAGAGCTGCTTCCTCTGCCGCCTCTGTTCCCTCTGCTGCAAAACGAAGTGTCCACGGCTCAGAGGCAGATGATCCAGAGCACGGTGGAACAGGCCATGGAGCACTGTCGCAGGGACAACCTCTGGAGGAGACTGTTCCACGGAGAGCATGTGACTCTAGACAAACTCAAGCTCACCAAACTGTCCTTCAGTGAGCTGGAAGAGCTGCTCGAGGCAGTGCAGAGCTGCTCTGTGGGGGACATCGACCCTCAGCTGGTGAGACACTTCTTATTCTCTCATTAAATTAACTCGCACTATATGCACTCTGTACTTTTGATACAACCAAAGCCCTCTCAGATTGTCTGCTGTGTTCACCCGGAGCAGTTTGTGAGTGGTCTATAGTATTTAGTTGTGTCCGGTCCAGTGTGCCGACCTTTTAGAGCAGTAGTGTTCAAACAGAGTCATCTCTTCTCAGTGTATGCTTCTGTGTTACAGGAGTGCTTCTTGAGCATGAGCCCAGCCTGGTACCAGAGCCTCATCAAAGTCCTCCTTAGCCGCTTCCCCCAGAGCTGCAGGCACTTCGACGACAATGGCGTGCAGTATCTGGTGAGAGCTTGTAACCCACTTGATAAGTACAACACAACAAATGAGTCTTTATTTAGGGCTTGGGTTTTTGGGAGTATGTCCTTGCTGAGAAGGAGGATCTAATGGCCAAGTGGACGCTCTGGGACAGTTCTCCACTACCATCTGCTAATTAGTGAGTAAATATGTTTGAATCAGCTCACAGATGTTCCTCCTGTTCTTATGTTCTAGGCTGTTCTCAACCAGAAGTTCACCGACTGCTTCGTGTTGGTCTTTTTGAACCCTCAGGCTGGTAAAACGGTGAGAACCACCTATTTCATTTGTGGAGTTTCAATACTGCACACAATAATTGATAATATTCTATGGATAATCCTCATTTCACCATTCTGAAAATGTGAATACTTTCGTTTACTGTGTTTGTCAAAAGCATTGAAAATCAGATACGAACCAATACTAAAACTAGTATCGAAACTAGATACTAATTTGAGCTGGTATCTGTACTAAGAAAAGCCCCATTCACTGGAAAGTGAACCTTTCCAGAATGTCTTTAGAATGATCTTGAGCTGTATCGGAACAAGTATTAGAGCACATAGACTAGCCCATGGACCACTATAGAACCTATCTGGATCAGATATAAAATTTCAATTTCAATATTTTGCAAAAGGGTCTATTCATTATAACCTGTGTCCCCTGTGTGTTAAGAGTCTCAAAGTGGTGTTCCGGGAGCCTCTGCCTGCTCAGCCCTCCTCTGGAGGCAGTCCCCCTCCTCAGCTTGTGCACATGTACCACCACCTGGAGTCCATCATCAACACAGCCTGCTACAACCTGTGGAGCGGCCTGCTGTAGAGACGCAGCCCCGAGCACTCATCCTACTGCTTCAAACTACTGCATTTTTGACATTTCATATCGTTTATATTCAGTTCCTTTATGGTTTATAAAGGAACTGTAGTCAGTCTTAAAAAGTTCATTCAGCGGCGGATGGGGTTTAGGAAGTGACAAGTCCTTTTACATTTAAACCAAGTGGATTTCAGCATTGAAACTGGCAACCCAAATGAGAGACTTATGTGAGGCTCATTCTGCTTTCTGAGTGGATAATTGTCTTGTAATTAACAGTTGTTAGGCTGCTTTATTCTTGTCAGTAAAAGACTGGTCATGTATTCTAACTATCTGTGGCCCCAGATAGGTCAGGTTTATGGGATTTAAAATCTAAATCTTACAAACAGTTCCTTTAAGACCTGTTCAAGGTCTAAGGCAAGAGTGTCAAACTCAAATTCACAGAGGCCAAAATTAAAAACTGGGACTAATTCGTAGGCCAAAACTAAATATTTATTGAAAAATTTCAACAACATCTGCATGTTTCCTCTTCTTTCGAGATATGTAATGTTAAACCTTTCCTTCTCTAAATGTTTAATAATAGTTTTGCTTAAACATTGAATCCAGATCAAGCACAATATAAAATAGTAACAAAATTTTAAATAATGTCTCTATAGCCCATCTGTAGCCGGTGGGCAGCTCTGATACATATTTGATGTGATCTCGTGAGCCAAATATAATTATATCGCAGGCCAAATTTGGCCCCCATACCTGAGTTTGGCATGTCTGGTCTAAGATAATGTTTGGGGTTATTTTGCATAATTTGGGGTTTATTAATTTATATCCCATTATGTATAAATAAAATATAACAAAGCATCCAAACAACAAACATGTGAGGGACTTAGTCAATTTTGAAAGGGTACTATAGCAACAATAGCAAGTTTGTATTGTGCAGTGTGTTTCTATATCTCCTCTTCTTCTCAAGGTGGTTGTCGCCTAATGCCAAATAATGTCTAAATAATGTCGCAGTGTTTTACTCCAACTGTAAATATTCACCTGTCATCTCTGCACTTTTTATATTAATGCAACTTTCTATATTTCTGTATTCTACAGCAGACTAGTGCCATACAATGTGATAGGAAGACTTCTTCTGACCAGTCTGCACCCACAGCCTTGTGCATATAAGCCTAATCATACTGAGATGAGAGTGGTGCCTTCTCTGAGCACTAGATGTTCGGACCTAGCCTAGGTGTAGCCTCTGTTCGAGCAACATCATGGTTTCCATGAATGTGTTCACATTTGTCAACAGAGCCATTCTGTTGTGTATATTAGACTGGAGTGTTGCATGTATATTTCTGTACATAAACCAGACTGAAATAAAGATGGAGGATTCTTGTTCATGTGTTGCTTTCTTCTCAATTGCCCAATTGTCACAGAATTAAAAAAAAACATTTTAAAACATTTCAAGCAAATAAAGAAAACCTTTACTTAAGGTATGTTGAGGATCCAAAAACAAATGTTAATATTTGAAAATGTAAAAACTATAAAACTATAAAGGTTACATCTTTATTTAAAATGGACAGACATAAAAACACAGTGACCTGAAAGTCACAAGATCCAGTGTCAGACGGGAGATGAGCTGATGGTGCATAGGACAGCATTTGTTCTGACCTAAAGGAGAAATTATGCAATGTCCAACATTTCTCTGCTTTTGCAGCTGAACCAGTACTTACGCTTTTGTAACAATACAAAGTCAATGTGAGACAAATACAGGTCTACTTCATCTTTTTTCCCCCCCCCCATTTCCTCCTGACCGCCACAGGGTGCCGCTTAAAGCACTCAATTTGCTTGTTTGAGATGAGTTAGGTCCAATTGGTGTTGATGTGAATGAGCCTATGGGTGCACCCATGGATCTATTAAAATAACCCCGATGGGTTTGTGTTTGACTTGCTCTGATGTCATAAGTACATTAGTAAGTTAAATTAAAAACAAATGAGATGCAAGATGATATTTTTATTAAAATGACTTGAAAATAGCAGACTGCTCTGTACTATTTGATGTTTTTACATAAAATAAAGCCATTCAAAATGACTACAAGATTTTTTTAATCCTTTTATCCATACTATCACAGACTGTGAGTGTAAGTGAACATTGCTAGTCCACTAGTCGCTGTGTTCCAAATAGGAAGTGAGCCGGGGCTCCATAAACCGTCTCCAGTTCACTTTGTATTGAGAAACTATTGCACTTCTCTCTACAACTGCTGCTGTCAGGCTCGTCATTTTGATCTTAAAACCCATTTTACATCATTTCTGGACAAAACAGGGAAATTAAAGCACCAGGATCAATTCCTATTCCTAATATGGAACTCCGCTCCAAATTCGTCCTATGACTGCTAGCTTTGTGATTTTCATTTAATTGACTGCTGCTGAATGGAGACCGGCCTCAGTGTTCCTGATCTCCTTTCCGGGTCCAGTACTCTTTGAGCCAGCCCAGCCCAGTGATGGTTCCCCCTACAGGACATATCACGTCAGCACACATCTGCAGCACACATTTGGAGAACACATCTATGTGCAGCTCCATGTAGTGAAGAGAGAGGACACGTGACTCACCCAGAGGCCGGTACTCGCAGCCCACAAAGCCCTGGTAGTGCTGGCGCTCCAGGACATCCCACAGGTAGCTGTAGTTGAGCTCCCCCGGAGTGTCCGGCTCATTCCGCTCTGGCACTTGTGCAATCTGGATATGGCCTACAGGGGAATACGCCAGTCCACTTTAAACATACAGCACATGCACATGTCTACAAGTCATGCGTATGACCGGTTTAGATGATTCTCTAATTTTGACTTCATCTGGGGAGATAAAACCTGTTGTAAACATAAATTATAGTTTTCTTCACAAAGGTTTCTTCATTGGCATAAAAGTTGAAAAACATGTTGAAAATGACAGAAGTAGACATCACACTAGGAAGAATTGAAAGAAATTTTAGTGTTGTGCAACACTAATTATTATTATTATTACTGTTACATAAAATGAATAGACTGCATTTCACAGTATAGTTTGTTTTTTTCTTATTTCAGGCTGTGGGCCCTTAAATGCTGTCCCTAGACTGTTAAAGTGCAGCCATGCTGAGCCCGTCTCACCAATGTAAGGGAAGTATCTGATGATGTTCTGTGTCAGATTTCCATCCATGATCTGCCAATGGAACACATCCTACAACACACACAGGAACCCACGTATATTTACTTGTTATTAGTTGTAATTATTAGGAGTAAGAGAAGGGTATTAGTAGCAGCAGTAATAACAGAGGTGGGGACTTGCAAGCCATGACTTGGACTCGAGTCAGACTTGAGTCACTATTTTTAGGAATTGGGACTTGACTTGATAAAATGGACCAAGACTTGGGACTCGACTTGGACTTGAGACCTGTGACTTGAGAAGACTTGATGCTTCTCCTAAAAACTGCATGTATGATAATGACGATGGATGAAGTACTGCAAGATGGTATCCTCAAATGTCTTACAGTAATATACAGTATAATACAGTAAAACAGAGGGAACTACATAGAACATCCTTCCATTTCAGTACAGACAAAATAACTGTTATTTAGCACTTTTAAATTTGCATTATTCATTCACTCCCAATGGTGGTAAGCTAAGGCTTTGACAAGGAGGTTTGGCCTGCAAGTAGTTGTAATTGCAGTTAGCAGCAGTAGCAGCAGCAGTAGCAGTAGCAGCTCACCATCTGCAGCTTCAGGTTCGGCCTTCCCACCCTCTCCAAGATGGCCACAGCTGCAACATAAAATAATTAAGATTAGTACACTCCTCAATTTATCACTTCTTTAAGCCCCATTGTATAAAATTACACCCAATAAACAGACTACAAGGGCCAGGGGTATATTGTGTGTTTCTGATGAAAAATATATATAATTTTCAATGAAGCTTTAGATTAAAACATGTACATTGTAAAATTGTATGTGCCCTGAGCTCAGTGTCCCATGACCCACACTTGAGGAACCACTGTACTAAATAAGCAGTCAGGTCTGTGTAGAGGCAAGCCCACTCACAGTAAGGCTGCATGTTTTAGCAGGTGTATTTGAACAATAAAAACTTGAGCAATTAATTAAATTATTTTAGATTTACTCTTGTGAGCTTTTACTAATGTAATTTATTGTAATGTAATAATGTAATATGTTACTTCGTCAAAAACATGCACAGTTTTGCACAGAGTTGTGTTTTTATTTCATTCACACATGTTTAATCCTGCTTTATTAGTTTGTCTACATCTCCAAAGCTCAAAATGCTGTGTTCCACCATGTGATGTCATGAAGTGGTAGTTTTCAAGTTAATAGCTCCTTGTACCTTTTGTATTGAATGTATTGAATTTTGTGATTTAAAGAGAGCACCGGAGGTTCCATTTTCTTATATATTCAAATTCAAAATTCAAAAAGGTTTATTATCAATTCTTCATATGTTTCATATGAAGAATCAAAATTGTGTTTCTCACCTCCAAGCGTATAAATAAATAATAATAAATGGAAAATTTCAAATATTCTTCAGGGGGGACACTGATTCCCAGCTTCCTGGCAGCCTGGTGGTTCGAGGGGAGAGTATACATATATCATGGTCAGGGAGAATTCTGCTAACTACCATGCATAATTTTGATGTGTAGTTCTGGCAACAGTTAATCACAGTCCTCTATTATTATGCTGTAGGCATCACCATAGCATCAGGTAAACAAATGAACAAGTGTAATGAGAGAGAAGCTTTAACTAATCCAGAAACAACAATGCTTTGAACATCGACAGACAACTAAAAGGCTGTCAGATTTCAAAGTGAACTATTTTCAATTTGTGGGACCATGGTATAAGTGAATTAAACAACTCTGAGCCATGAGTCATACGGCTGTACGCAGCATGCATTGATACAATGCAACATACGGCTTCACATTGTTTAATCCTTGCTTAATAGTCCTAAAATTCATACTAACACTAACACACTAAAATAAGCAGATTTGTTAAAGGGATTACATTCTTAAAATTGCAGAAGGTACAAATTAAAAAGATTACAAGTAAATATCTTTCCTTTCCAGTTTCCTCTACACACATGAAGCAGATAAATGTGTTTTTTATGGAACAGGCGATGAGGATTCTTTTATTATGTGTTTGTACTACAAAGAGTTGATCTTCAAGTCTGGCTTCAGTCTGGGGGGTTCTGTTTACATCTTTAAGAAATGGCATTTGGTAGTCTAATGACAATTCTGATAACTAAATATTTTAATCATTTATCAAAACCAAACCAATTGACTGAGGAACAACCTCAAGCTCTCTCCAAATCATTGAGGCTAATGGACAGAAAAGACGCTGGCTTTCCGGTGTCTTTTTTGGAGGACTTTTACTTCTTTGAATAAGATACTCTTATATTCTAAATGGTGTTCTATTTGTTAGTATGTAAAAGTTTGCAATTAAAAAAAAGATCTAACCATGATGAGGAGAGTCCAGGAAGTAGGCAGGGTCAGTGATCCGTGTGTTGATTGGCTCAATCAGACCTGTGATGCCCTTCTGCAAGAAAAATAACATGTGCCAACCACAACTTATTCCCAATAGTGTGCCACTTGTGAGCAATACGAGTCTCAAGTGTCTTCTGAAGACCACTGGTATTTCCTGTGCCGCTATCCTCTCAATATTTAGATGCTAAATTATAATTTATGGATTATTTGTTGTTATCCAATAAAATTAATCTCTGTATGTATTTCCAGCAGACTACCTTGGAGAGCAGATCAGCAGCATACTCCAGATTCTGGATGAAGATGCTCTCCATCTCCTGGGCCACCTCAGCTCTGTGTGAACCCAGAGGAACACGACCAGCCATCAGGTGGATCCTGAGGGCACAAACCACACCACTGCCTTTAGGCTTTCAAACTCATTTGATCAGATTTTATGTAAAAGTGGCATTAGAACCAAATGTGGCCCAAAAGTAGTGCAACAAACGTAGACTGGACGCTGGGCTGGTAATAGGGCAGGCTAGGTGTAATATAAGTTTAGTTGAAGATAGGCACTAGTCAGAAGGAACAGGTCTGTGGCTGGGACCCACCTTTTACACTGCAGAGCTTGCGCGTACTCTATGGCTCGCTCCAGCCCCTGCCTGAACTCCTGCTCTCTCCCCGGGACTGCTCCAAGCCCAAGGTCTCCGGCCCGAAGGTTTCCTGAAACACAGAGCCGTGACAGAGCGCTGCGCAGCGGTCAGTGTGAGCAGGTGGACCGCGGCTCACCTGGAGGAGTGTTGATAAGCACCAGCTCCACTCCCGTGGCGTCCCGGGCGCTCTTCAGTTCCTGCAGATCCTCCTCATACGGCCAAGCAGCCTCCACGGCGCGAAAGCCGACTGCAGCCGCCGCGTAGATCCTTTGACTGAGCTCCGGGATCTCTGTAAACAGCCACGTTAGATTGGCACAGAATTGCAGCGGAGGCATGGTGCAGGAGCCGGGGTCACAGTTCTGCGGTCAGCCACTGCTGTCTGCTGAATGTCCTTTTGTCAAAGATAACTCCACGTGGACTTAGCTGTGTCCGAGCGCCGTGTCACAGATGGAAATTTAGGATTTTTATATTTGGCATATGAAAAGACAAAAAGAGGCACTGACTGTTCAGGAAACTTCTGCAGGAGTCACATTCGTCTGGTTCCTAGTCGCTCGCAGAAAGTAGAGCCTATATTTTTGATCACGTGGTCACGTGATGACGTCGAGTCTCTCCAGCTACGAGCGTCTGCGCGTCACACACGGGCGCGTTTATTAAATCCTTAGAACTATATAATAATATAATTCATTCTAGATCCATGATTAAAATCTGGCCCTAGCTAACTAATCAATGAATAAATAAATACAACTAAAAAATCCTAACCCTAACTACATGGTTTTACTTAGGAACAAGGCTTATTAAAGGCAATAAATGCAGTTCTTCTCAAATGGATTCAGAACTGCAATAAAATGCAAAAGACAGAAGTGTTGTACTAATTAGAGGTGGCACGTCTGGTGTAAAGGATGGACCTTTGTTAAACTAACTTTAGTGTGAACTTGAGTAGCTTTGACTGGATGTAATTGCTTTTATGACATAGAAAATTGAATTAATTAATTATTATGTCACAAAAACGAATCTGCAGTAGTGTTTTGTTTCATTCACAGATGGTTGAGAAATCCTGGATTATTAGGCCACTGTATCCCCAAAAATCAAAATGCTCTGTTTTGGCTTGTAATGAATGTCATCAGGTGGTAGTTTTAAAGTTAACAGCTATTAAGCCTCAATCCAACAGCTTTATTCTTCAATGTTCTTGAAAAGCCTTAGGTTGTTGCCTTAAGAAAATGTTTATGTTTTACACTTTGTTCATTTCTGACTGCCACAGAAAGTTTACAAAATCTTCTAGTGCACCAAGAAGCAAAGCCTCTTTTTCAAGATGGCATTTACAGCAACATCAGCGCCCACTGGGCACCACAGTTTTCTAATGTGGAAGTCAGAGAATTAGTTTATTTTATCAAGTTGTTCAGATTAATATTGCAATTTGAAATATGCTAATTATAACATCCACGGGTGTCATATTCTAACTATAGCAGACACAAGCACAATAGGTCTGCTTTGAAGAAAAATGTAATAAAACAAGTACATTAGTACACTGAAAGCATTCCAATTTCAGACAACTGCAACTAATGTGGATAAATCCCTGTTCGTGTGTGTGCGCGTGAGCGCGTGTGTGTGGAGGGTGTATGTGTATGCGTATGTATGTGTGTGTGTGTGTATATGTGTGTGTGTATGTAGATGTATGTGTGTGCATGTGTGTGTATGTAGATGTATGTGTGTGCATGTGTGTGTATGTAGATGTATGTGTGTGCGTGTGTGTATGTAGATGTATGTGGGTGCATGTGTGTGTATGTAGATGTATGTGTGTGCATGTGTGTGTATGTAGATGTATGTGGGTGCATGTGTGTGTATGTAGATGTATGTGGGTGCATGTGTGTGTATGTAGATGTATGTGTGTGTATGTGGGGGGTGTGTGTGCATGTGTGTATGTAGATGTATGTGGGTGCATGTGTGTGTATGTAGATGTATGTGTGTGCGTGTGTGTATGTAGATGTATGTGGGTGCATGTGTGTGTATGTAGATGTGTGTGGGTGCATATGTGTGTGTATGTGTGTGCTCCATGGGATGTGTGGCCCTTATATAAGTCTAATATTAGCCACACTGCAGCTTTCGGCCCTCAGAGCCGGAGTCCTGGGGCCCTCCATCTGCCCCTGTACAATGGGACAGCTCTGGTCACATGGAGCACTGTCACACTCAGGACTCTCACAATACATGTTTTAGTGCTTGATGGAGGATACATGTTTTTGCTGGTGTTGAAGGAACATGTAATCTGTGCTCTTTCTTAAGTTTTAAAAACAGTATTACAATCACAACTGAACCTGGGTTGCCAGAGCCTTAACCTGCAGATAGAGGACACATCTAAGTTTGTCTCATTCCCAGTATATTGCTGCATTTAGAAAGATATTACACTTATCAGTTGCTTACAGTATAACATATTTAAAACACCATGTTACATTTTATTGTTTTGAGAATGCTTTCTTTGCCAAAAAACAGTTTATTAAAATGATTAATAATCCATGTATCATTCGTTCATTCGTTTTTCCAAATAAAACCAAAAATAAGAAAACAAAAAAACATTACTGAGACCAGTTGAGTCCTGATTTAATCCTGGTTTAGTCCTGGTTTAATCTGGCATTGCATTTTAAGTGAGGCAAACAGGAAACAACCATTATCCATTTTTTCCATTATTCATTTAAACACATGTAAGCAACATTTCGGTTTCTCAATCCCTGACTTTTATTGTGAAAGCAGAAGTGGGTTTGGGCAGTTCTAAAATGTTCTACTGTACCGTGTGTTGATGAGACGGAGCTGATGAGAAAAATAAAGTAATCTCCTTCATATTGGCCTCCATCTTCTATGCACTCAAGACCCTTGGTTACACACAAAATCGAAAACTGGAAAAACAAATCATTATCTGTTTTTTCATTTTGATCTTGGAGACAAATAATGAAGAAAATGTTTTGTTTTAGTTTTTTAAATTTTGGTTTTACTTTGAAAAATTAAGGAAGGAATGATACACAGACTCTGAATTACTTTCACTTCTGTTTTTGATGTCCTGAGTTTTCCCTCCCTTTGCTCTCCACAGAAAGTCCCTTCAGAGTGCTGTCATAGCTTGCATCTTGCTAGTGAAACTTCTGCACATTGCGTCAGGTTTGTGAAGTTTTTGTTTCCTGCTTATATTTATGAAGAAAGGCCATAGGGGAACATAGTTGACACAGGCTTGTGGATGGAGCATTGGACAGGTTTGTTCTATGGGTTAGGGTTAGGGTTAGGAGGGTTCGAATAGGGTCCAGGAGTGATCGCTGGGTCATTGAAACATGCATGGATGGCATCTAAAACCTCTGTTTTAGATGAGGGACCAATGTTAGAACATGGTAGAAAACTCTAGAAAGTCCGTTTTGCACAATACCCCCTCTTTAAATTTTGAATTTGGAAGTTCAAATGTCATTCAGATGATGGGCATGTGCTTGTTCCAGAGTGGGGGCCCCTGTGGCATGGTGCCAATGAAGTGTGAGGGCCCCAGTGGTCACGAAGCAGCCTGAGAAGCACTCAGACAGAACAAGCCTCATCCAGTCCAATGAGCAGCCACGCTTCCAGGCCCTGCTCACAGTGAACATTACAGCGGACACTACAGCGGACACTACAGCGAACACTACAGTGGACACTACAGCTAATATTACAGCGGACACTACAGTGGACACTACAGCGAACACTACAGTGAACACTACAGCTACAGTAACATTACAGCGGACACTACAGCGAACACTACAGTGAACACTACAGCTAACATTACAGCAGACACTACAGTGGACACTACAGCGAACACTACAGCGAACACTACAGTGAACACTACAGCTACAGTAACACTACAGTGGACACTACAGCGAACATTACAGCGGACGCTACAGCGGACACTACAGCGAACACTACAGTGAACACTACAGTGGACACTACAGCGAACATTACAGCGGACGCTACAGCGGACACTACAGCGAACACTACAGTGAACACTACAGTGGACACTACAGCGAACATTACAGCGGAACACACGACACACACTACAGTGGACACTACAGCGAACACTACAGTGACACTACAGTGGAACACAGCGAACTACAGCGAACACTACAGTGAACACTACAGCGAACATTACAGCGGACACTATAGTGAACACTACAGCGAACATTACAGCGAACACTACAGTGAACATTACAGCGGACATAACATGGAACACTACAGCGGACACTACAGCGGACACTACAGCGAACACTACAGTGAACATTACAGCGGACACTACAGCGAACACTACAGCGGACACTACAGCGAACAGTACAGTGAACATTACAGCGGACATAACATGGAACACTACAGCGGACACTACAGCAAACACTACAGTGAACATTACAGCGGACACTACAGCGGACATAACATGGATCACTACAGCGGACACTACAGCGGACACTACAGCGAACACTACAGCGGACACTACAGCAAACACTACAGCGGACACTACAGCGAACACTACAGTGAACATTACAGCGGACGCTACAGCGAATATTACAGCGGACACTACAGCGGACACTACAGCGAACATTACAGCGAACATTACAGTGAACACTACAGTGAACACTACAGTGAACACTACAGCGGACACTACAGCGAACACTACAGCGAACACTACAGTGAACATTACAGCGGACACTACAGCGAATATTACAGCGGACACTACATCGGACACTACAGCGAACACTACAGCGAACATTACAGCGGACACTACAGCGGACACTACAGCGAACATTACAGTGAACACTACAGTGAACACTACAGCGGACACTACAGCGAACACTACAGTGAACATTACAGTGGACACTACAGCGAATATTACAGTGGACACTACAGCGGACATAACATGGATCACTACAGCGGACATAACATGGAACACTACAGCAAACACTACAGCGAACACTACAGCGAACATTACAGAGGACACTACAGTGAACACTACGGCGAACACTACGGCGAACATTACAGCGAACACTACAGCGGACACTACAGCAAACACTACAGTGAACATTACAGCGGACACTACAGCGAACATTACAGCAGACACTACAGCGAACGCTACAGCAAACACTACAGTGAACATTACAGCAAACACTACAGCGAACATTACAGCAGACACTACAGCGAACGCTACAGCAAACACTACAGTGAACATTACAGCAAACACTACAGCGAACACTACAGTGAACATTACAGCGGACACTACAGCGGACATAACATGGATCACTACAGCGGACACTACAGTGAACATTACAGCGGATACTACAGCGAACACTACAGTGAACATTACAGCGGACACTACAGTGAACATTACAGCGGATACTACAGCGAACACTACAGCAAACACTACAGTGAACATTACAACACTACAGCGAACATAACATGGAACACTACAGCGGACACTACCGGCCGCAGGCTCCAATTCCAGTCTCGGCTCCGGCCGCAGGCTCCGACTACTGTCGCGGAGCCGGAGCCCGCGTCCAGAGCCCGCGGCCGGAGCCGAGACGGGAGTCAGAACCTGCGGCCGAACCCGAGGCCGGGCCCGTGGCTCGCGGAGGCTCGGGCACGTTGCATCTCACGTGGTCAGAAATAAACTGTAAAGAAAAGACGTCAAACGTAAAGAAACGCTCGCGGTGGACTTTTTCAAAATAAAAGCCAGTGAGAAACAGACGTTTACAATAAAATAAATAAATAAATAATAAACGGCGTTAAAATAATTGTCGGCGTTAATGACTTAATTAGTTAACGCAAAGTTAACGCGTCAACGTGCCCGGCCCTAATATATATATCAATTTATTAATATTATATATATATATATATATATATATATATATATACATTTATTTATTTATTTATTTATTTAATTTTACTGTTATTTACAATTTGTAACATGTCCTCTGTAATGGACATTTTGGTGTTAAATCCATGTAGTTAACAACCTAACAATAACAACTCTTCTGATGCCCAGCATCTCCGACAGGCTTTTATAGTCACCTCAAAAAGTTTTTACAGTTCCTTTTATTTATTTATTTATTTTTATTTTTTTGCAACCACCAATTAGCTCCCATTAAGTAGGTTGATAAGACATCCCTATTTACCCGCAACAGTCCAAGTTTTGAGCCCTGTGTCCCTTGTCTCAGATTTATCCAAAACCAGTGATTTGCCCCAGTTTTATACAAGAAATGTCCCAGGTTCCCAATCTGACACTTGTAACAGTAAAAAGAGGCATAAAACATGTTAGTTATGAATAGGCCAAATGCAGAACAATTCTCCTTAATTACACCCTCGTTTCACAGTTTTATCACCAACTGCTCCAAACTGGGGGTGTCCCAGTATTTTATTTTGAAAATCTGGTCACCCTAGTATTGAGTTCATATTTTATCCTAGGTATGATAGTACTTCATAATCCCCAGCCTTATTTAGGCAGAGGAACCTAATCCCCCCATTAAGAGTCTATCTCAAAACACTTAAAAGATAGACTGGTTAACTCAATGTGCACTATAACGGACACAAATGAATGGGCCGGGTCTCAGAAGGATATGAACCACACAACCGAAAGGAGAAAGCATGGAGTGAGTGAATAGTAGAATGTAAGTGTAAATGATTATTATTACTCAGCTCACTGAGCCACGAGGGACTCTACAGGCAGAGAGGAGGGGGCCGTATGGGCAGTCACGGAGACACACGAATAGTTCCGTAAAGAGCCGAAGCTGTCGTGGTGATGGTGAGAGCGCTCGTAGCAGCGGTCCCTGAACCTGCGGAGAACGCTGTGTGGACTGCCTTTTGTGCCTAAACTCCAGCGGGATACTGTCCGTGGACGCGCCGGTCATGGTGAGTGGAGCTTTTTCACGTCAGACCCACAGACTCGGATGGAGAGTTGGGGGCAGACTTTGACGCGCGTCCGACAGGTCGGTGAGCGAAAGTGTGCTGCTCTGTTCTTGTTTGATGCTATGGTTTCACTGTCCGTGGAGTGGGTGCTAATTAACTCAGAGTTATTAGTTTTTAAACAATAGCAGACGCGTGCACGTTTCTGGTTTTGATACAATGAGTTACATTTGCAATTGTTTTTACACGTCTTGTAACTTGCGTGGGTCAAGCACAATGTTTGCGCAGGAGCTGTAGGTAAGATTTTTACAACAAACAATGGCTATTTATTTGAGTCTCTCAATTGAGTCTCTCATTTCAAAAATGACTCTCTCTGCTTTGAATGGTCACTACGTAAACCTGCAGCCAATCATGAATCAGCACTGTGCAGCCTCTGCAGCTCAGTGCAGAAATTCTGGAGGTTCCGAGCTTTCACATGAGGCATGGCCTGATCATATACTGAGAATGAGGCTTGTATGTGCAGGTTAAAGCACTGGCAACCCAGGTTCAGTTCCTACATACTGTACATCCTACATATAGAGTTCCTTTAAAAGTGACAAACGCTTTGTTGAAAGTGTATGATTCCTGCATTTTTGTAGGCTCATTCTTCTGTTATTAGTCAGCAAAACATAAATCATATCCGACCTACACGACTAGTCCAAACTGAATGGCACATATGGAATGTAGCAAACAAAAAATTAAGTCAAGAATAAATATAAACTTGTTTAAGATAAAATAAATAAATAAATAAATAAATAAAAATCCACCCTTTGCTTTGTCCCTTCTTCTTGACCCTGACATGGCACAGCTGTGAAGTGAAAACCATATCAGGGAAATTAATTAAGAGAAGGCCAAGAGTTTACAGCATTGTCGACAAAGCAAAGGGTGGATACTTGAAGCATTCGAATATAAAATATATGTAGTTGAGATTTTTTTTTACATAATTCCACACATCTTATATATTTGATGTCTTCTGTAATTTATATAAAATGTAAAACGATGTAAACATAAAGAACAAAGAATGAGAAGGTGTGTCTAAACTTTTGACTGGTAGTGTATGTCATCATCACTTCTTTACTATTCCCACTAGCCTAAGTCATTTTATTTTAAATATTTATTTTAGGTATTCATTAACTAAACAGATAACTGTAAATATGCTTCTGTGTAGTTTTTTTGTCACTGGGCTTCATAAGAAAGCTGTTGTTCCATGAAGAGGAGTGGAACGTGCCCTGTCCCGCTGCTTCCAAAATGGTGCCAGTGATTTGTCCTGGTCCATGTGTTCAGAGTGTGCTCCAGCTTGCCCCCTGCTGTCCGCGGATATGTGCTTCTGTCCCACTCAGGATACACAGCTACAAGACACTACCTTACACTTATACAGTCCCTTTTATGGATGTCATACGGCAAAGACAGTGTGTGTGAGGATGTGCATGCATTTTTCTGACTTTTCAAACGTCTTAAATTACAAAGAAATTATTCTTGTGAGCTTTAAGGCATGTTAAATGTTGTTAATTCATCAAAAAATATCCAGACTTACCCAGACTGATGTTTTGTTTCATTCACACATGAATAACCCTTTATTATTAGAAGACCTCAGCTTAAATATGCACGTTTTACATTTTAAACATGTGAAAGAAACAAAACACAACTCCGAGCATGTTTTGGAAAAGGAAACAACATTATAACATAGATCAGAAAACAGTGTACTATGTACACTATTTAAAATACTTTGGAAATCTTTCTGTAGCTACAGGATATAGGGGGGACTCAAGATTTTGTGAGATAATGCTTTGGGGTACGAAAGACAAAAAAGTTTGGAGACCATTAGTGTATGGGACAATGATTCCCAAAGTGGGCTCCGGAGTGCCCTGGGGGCCTCCAGAGGACTGTCATTTGACAATAATATATATTTCACTTTTCACTTCACAATTCACATACACACACATGCACACATACGCATCACATACGAACCCACGTATTCAGCTCAGTAAAACTGACTTGCATGACCGATTTCTAACATGGAATGTCCATGAGATTGGCTCACAGAAAAGAAATAAATTATGTAATAAAAATAAAAATAATACAACAAAATATTTTCTGTTGTTCAGGTCATCACCAAAAAGTTGATCCTCATGAACTGGAAAACCAGGAAACACATGAACATTACGCACTGGAACAATCTTATCACATCAATCACTGACAGAGCTTATTTCTACAAACTACCGAAACATGAACTTCCCTCACTCATCTTCCTTTCTTTTTTTTTCTTCTCCCTACCTCCATGGGGATGATAATGACTTATTGTTCTTGGGATGCTGATGCGGATGGGATGAGTAATAATAATAAACATGGTAAAATGCATGGGGAAAAAATAAATAAATGATAAAATATATGGCCATACCGGCTTGTCAAAGCCTGATCCTTTCAGATTTCAGAAGCTAAGCAGGGCCAGGCCTGGTTAGTACTTGTATGGGAGACCGCTGGGAATTCCAGGAGCCACAGTGGGGTGTCAGTGGCAAAAACTGTTGTTGTGTCCTTAGGCAAGACACTTCACCCACATTATCTAGTATGAAAGTGGTGTGTGCGTGAGTGATGGGGCCGATGGCGCAAATTGGCAGCTTCCGTCGGTCTGCCCCAGGGCAGCTGTGGCTACAGTAGTAGTTTACCACCACTGACTCTTTAGTGAATGAATAATGAACTGTAAAGCGCTTTGGGTATCTTGAAAGGCACTATATAAATGCAATGATTAATTAATTAATATGGGCTACTGGGACAAGGTGGAAATGGGTGAGATGCGAGAACAAGGCTCTATTGGAATGCTACTACTACTGTAACCCTAGTCAGAGGGGTTACATGAACAGGATGTGGGGAAATGGTCACTTCAATACCCACCAAGTCTCCTAGAAGATGTGAATTAGGCACTTAGAGCGATCCCTACCACCAACATCAGTGAAATCAAGGAGCTGATGTACACTTCAGCAGCAGTGATCCTAGAGGTGCTGGGCTATAAGAGCAACCATGGGAGCCATGAGATACAATACCCACCATGAAAAAAACGGTTAGAGGCTAAAATCAAGAAAGAGCTGAGAGAAGTGAGCCAACTGTCAGAGGCCCTGTTGGAAAATCTCGTAAATAGTTATTTTATTTTGTAATGTCTGTGGCTGACGTCAGTAGTGATGTCACTTCCCATTTGTGCTTTTCTTTGACTTTCTCCATGGCACTGGATGTTTTCCCTGTATGGTGTCCTCTGTGTGCATTCATGTCCATCAAACACACACATCCATAATCCCGCCACAGGCCTATACAAGACAAGGTGTCTTGCCAGTTCCATAAGAACCTGTAACTACAATATCTGTAATAAACTTCATTGGTGTAACAGCGTTGTGCCAACTCGGAGTCCATCTCGCAGGTATCTATCAGATCAGCAAACACCAGAGTGTCCCACTTGAGTAACAACAACTGCCTACCGATGCAGCAGTGCATCCTAGACCCCAGTGGGAGAGACGGCAACATCCACACCTGGATGACTTTGCAGTTGGATATCATCCTACAGTTACAAACCCAGCCTGCACCAGTACCTACAGCTGATAACGGGGCAGCAGCCTCAGAGCTCATTATGCTGAGACCACCTTCTCCACCACTGCCTGTGAGAATACGGTCACGTCGAGGCTAAGTAGCTTCTCACCACAGTATCCCCAGATCCCAAGCCAGTGTTCGTTCACTAACCCAGAGATCTGTTACCGACATGCTGTCAGAGCTGCAGAACACCATGTTGGAGGAGAAAGTGAAGTGCCTGGAGCTAGCAGAGGCACAGAGGCAAGTCATAGAGCAGTGCCTTCTACTAGACCAGCAAGCACGAGAGGCCCTGAATGAAAAAAAAGAGCTTCTTAGAGAGCAAGAGTGGCAGGGACATTGACTAGAGGAGAAAGCAGAGATTGCATTCAAAACAGAAGAGGCTATTACGAGACATCAAATACTGCAGCGCAGACTGTAGGAGAAAGAGATGGAAGTTGAGAAAGCAGTTCTTATCACTTCCTTCATGAAAGAAGAGGAGATAAAGAGTGTAAGTACAACCTGAGGCTCCTATCCACAGCCCAGCCATTAATACAGCAGTCACAGGGTCTACCTGGTCCGCTCCACTCTACTCCTTTCACACAAGCTCCACCTCCAGTCAATTTACATACAGTCAGTCCTCCTGTCTCTACTAGTCCCCCAACAATCTTAGCCACTGCTACACAAGACTGAGTCTCTGCCAAAATCATTATGCAGCCCCAGCCTACTTACACCATCATGCCTTCTCCTGTTGTTTCAGTCTCCAACCCTGTTCCACTACCACGTCATAGCCACACTGTGGGTGCCCCCATACAGCATGCTCCATGCAGGTGCCGTACAATGCCCCATTCAACCAAGCACAGATGGTCCGCAGCCACGCTCATGTCAAGCAAGTGCCTCACCCTCCACTGCAGCTGAACAGAGCATCACCATCAAATACAACCCACCTTATACACCTCATTTTGGAGGTATTTGGGAGAGGGAGATAAAATCAGTCAAAACAGCTCTCCAGGTTGTACTTAAAGACCGAGTCCTCCCCGAAGAAGTACTGCTCACTGTACTCATAGAGGTGGAGGGTATCCTTAACTCAAAACCTCTGGGCTATGCTACCTCAGACATTGCTGACCCTGACCCCATTACTCCTAACCTCCTGCTGATGGGGCGACGGGATGCATCACTACCTCAAGCTATCTACGGCAGCAGTGACCTGATTGGACGTCGCTGGTGGAAACACAGCCAAGTCCTAGCAGACCACTTCTGGGTCCAGTTCACCAAGAACTACCTACCTAACCTTCACCAGAGGAGGAAATGGCACACCGACACTCCAAACTTGAGTATGGATCAAGTGGTCATGGTCATTGATCCACAGTTACCACGGGCACGATGGCCCATAGGACGTGTCACCAAGGTGATCCCCA